GAAAGAAAGAAAGAAAGAAAGAAAGAAAGAAAGAAAGAAAGAAAGAAAGAAAGAAAGAAAGGAGAGAGGGAAGGAGAGAGGGAAGGAGAGGGAGGGAGACGGGGCACAGGGGAGGGGACAAGTCCCGGCCGAGCACAGGCGGGGCCCAGAGCTCTGTAAGGTCTCCTATGGCCTGGAAGCCTCCTCCTGGCAGCAGGGGGATGCCCCTCATGGTTTCACCCTAGGGTGGCGTGAAATGCTCCCTTTATAGACACCACCTGGCTGCGGCATGAAGAATGTACCCAGGGGGGTAGCAATAACCTGCTGTGAGGGGGCGGGGGCTTCCTGGGCGGAAACACTGTCCAGGTCAGAAAGGGGAGCTGATGCCACTACAGGGAAAACTGGCCACGGTGAGTCCTGCCTTCCAGAGAAGTGGCATCCTTCGTCCCTGGGGACGTGGCTCTTTTTCTTTATTATTTGTTTTTAGAAAACAGGTTCATGCTACAAACTGGTTCCTTTGGCTGAGAGAGTCAGGCCCCTGACCTGACGGTCTGGGCTGGATGGGTGCTGTGAGATCAGAAGTCCCAGGGGAGTGACCGACAGCGTGCACAGTACAGTCAGTGACGCTGTGGTGACTTTGCATGGTCACAGAGGAAACGCGGCTTATCGTGGGGGCCACTTCGTAACGCAGACCAACAGCGAATGGCTGTGCTGTGCGCCTGACTGATAGATATTGCACCTCAGTTATACAGGGGTGCTTCGGTTTTCTAATGTCTCGTTGAGGAATATTTCGGGTTACAAACACCGTAAACCCAGACGGAAATGCTTCGGTTCTCGAACACGCCTCGGAAGTGGAACATGGCCCCGGCTTCCGCTGAGGGCAAGGTCCTGCGGCCTCGCTGTCGGCTGCGATCCCTCGGTTCCCGAACATTTCAGAACCTGAGCGGTCTCCGGAAAGGGGCACATTTGAAAACCACTCGCCGTGGCCAGTTTTCCCTGGTTTTCCCCTTACTTCCAGGGTACCTGCTAATAAAGTCAGAAGAATATGGCTCTGCGGCAGGCCCGAGGAGAGGGCCCGGGACCTGAGGCCCGGAGGACCGGCGGGGAAGGGAAGGGGGCTCCCGGGCCCAGCTGGAGGCGGCAGCCCGCAGGGGCACAGCCACGAGGCTCCCGACGGGACGGTGGGTGGCAGGCCGGTTACTGCACCGCGACAGGAGCCTGGCATTGACGATGAAGTGGTTTCTTTAGGGTTTATAGTTACTTTCTGGGGCTCTCGAAGCTGCAGTGAAAGGCGGCCACTCCTGAGCGTCAGTGTGAGGTTTGCTAGGGTGCAGGGGGACGGCAGCACCCCCCCGGCCGGCGCGGGCAGGGAGCACCCACAGGGGCGCGGGGCGGGGGCCGGGGGGGAGCTGCAGAGAGACGCAGAGGGGTGTGCACGCCCACAGGAAACCCAGGGGCGGGGGAGGGCCCCGGGCGTGCCTCGGAGGGTTCTAGGCCCTGGGTTGGTGCAGGGAAGCTAAGGATGACCCTGAAACTTGCAGGTATGAGAGTAGGAAAATCTGCGTTGCAGTCACTGATATACGAGGTTAAAACCCAACATGATGCGGCTTGAGAGCTATTAGTACTCCTAAGGCTCACTCTGAACCAAGCAAAGCCTGGACAAAATGTTTTAGAAATTTCCCATTGGGGCTATGTAACTAATAGCTCACTGCACGCAGAAAACTCACTACAGTTCCAAATGTTACATAACATACAAAAACGAAATCCAGTGTTCTGTTTATCAGAAATACTCCTGTCAAAACACATCGATACGCTGCGGAGAGGCGTCCTGTGACATCATTCCCCCGCTTTCCCAGCCAATCCTGGCTGAAATGACCCCAAACGCCCCGCCGTCGTAGACCAAGGCTGTCACAGAAATGGCAACCAGAGTAAGTATCCCCAGGAAAGAAGCCTCCTGTCATGTGGTCTTTATTAAAATACAAAAGTACAGGAAAACTTGAACCAAACATTTCTATCCCAGGGACTGGCCCAAGCATTTGTATGTTATTTTTTTATTTTTAGTTTCCTTGAGTTTAGAGAAGGGTTTCATCTGCTTCTGCAGATTCCCTGGTCACGACGGGGGCATTACAAGGCCAGCTGTTGCCCAAGAAATGTCAAGAGCATCTGCAATAGAATATGCACCCGTAAGAGCAGAATCAAACTTCAGGTGGTTCTGTGTGGGACATTCTGATAAACTTGCGCAGTCATAGCTATCCAGATACACCACAGCCAAAATTTTAAATTAAAAAAAATAAAATAAAACTATATCTAGGTAATTGGGAGAGAGACAGGATCTCCTTTTCTCCCCTCATTTTGTTAGGTAGGGTTTGCTACGACACCCGTATTCATGAAAAATGTCAACTCTCAACTTCATGATTTAGGGATTCTTTAGGACTTTCACAGTCAGTATTAAGCTCCAAGTTAAAGTAAAGAAAGTGACGTTTTTCTGCCGGTACCACCCTTCCTTTAGTTAGTTATACTTTGGAATGCGCAGCTCAGTGACGACAAAGGTTTCCGTGAGAAAGCGGGTTTCCATGGCATCGGTTCTACAGGAGGCACAAATAAACTATTTTGCGAGGTGACGTTATTTTTGCCGGTGCCATTCCACCTACACAGTTCTACCTGAACCAGAGGCTGTGACAGGCAGCCCCTGAGGCTCTCAGACCAGATGGGGACGGCCAGGGATAGTCCTCGGGCCCCCACATTCCTGGAGACATGCAAGACAAGAAATCCCGGGTAGTATTTCTTGGTTTGAGTACCTGCTTTGGTTTTATAAGCATAATTCGTATTTTTCTTTTTTTAGCAAGAATGTATTCTGCTATAAACTCCGTGACACGGCAAACTCCACTGCTATCATTTTCTAATCAGTCACAGGCCGGAGGACGGGTTGGCACGGAAGGGATTCCGCCTTCCGAGAAAGTCACTGTCAGTGGCGCGGGGAAGACTGGCTTTCCTGCCTCACGCACTGTCCATCTCGTCAAAGAGGGGAGAACCATCCTCGCTTCATTCCTCCACGTCCGTTTGGCTATGGGGTTCTTGCGAAAGACTGCTACACATAATCACCTTTAAAGAATAAAAAATATGATGGAAACTAAAGCCAGCTTCCGTCCCCCGCAGGGTGGCTCCGGGGTTCAGCACCCCTGGGCCGGTTCAGCGTCATCCTAAGCGCGGTCGTGTCGTTACCTCCTTAGTTCCCAGGGGACCCTGCAGTGGCTGAGCGGCAGCATCTCTAGGTCAGCGGTTCTCACACGTGGATGTGCATCAGAAAGACCTGGAAGGCTTGGGAGGACACCTGCTGCCCTCCGCCCGAGGGCCTAAGTCAGCGGGCCCCGCGGAGGGTGGCCAGCGATGCAGGCGTGTGGACCGCGCAGTGACGCCCAGTTACAGGCCCGTTTCAGAAAACTGTGGCCCGAGCGCCAAACCCAGGAAACGGGCGTCTTTTTCTTGGTTGGTCTTCAAGCTAAACTAAAGAAATTTTGTGACACATAGCAATTCTATAAAAGCCAAATTTCAGTATCCATAAATAAAGTTTCGTTGACACACAGCACGTTCATCTCGTACATGTGTTGTGTGTCCTGCTTTCGCCCTACAGCGCCAGACTTGACTAGTTGTGAAACACACAATAAGGCCCCAAAGCTGAAATTTAGTGTGTCTCTGGCCCTTTACAGAAAAAAATTGCCAATTCCCATCATAGATGGAAGCAGGATCTAAAATATTTTAGCTAGCAGGTGGTAGTGTGGGGTTTAAATCCAGATCAAACTTCAGACTTCATATTCTGTTTTTTTTGTAACATGCACTATTTTTTATTAAATTTATTAGGATGACATTGGTTAATAAAATTATATCATTTTCAGGTTTACGATTCTATAATATATCATCTGTATATTGCACCCCAAGTCAAATCTTCTTCTGTCATCATATATTTGGCCCCTTTACCCTTTCCTGCCCCCACCCCCTTCCCTTTGGTAACCACCATACTGTTGTTTATATTGAAGGGTTTTTGTTTGTCTTTTTTATCTTGTTTTCTTTATTTTTTGCTCACTAAATATGTTGAAGACTTATATGA